AAAATAAATTAGTTTGTTAAAGCATTTGTGATATTTTTGTTATAGCAGTACTAGATAACTAAAACATATTAGTAGTGCTTTATCTTTTAATCCATTGGAAATTTCTACATATACAATCATAGCATTTTCTTCTATTTTCCAGTGTTTATAGTAGTTATTTCTCTTGTATTGTCATCTATTAAAGACTTCAAACAATGCTTTAAAAATAAGGGAGGGGGGCAAGGAAATGAAGGTAGCAAGCATCCCTGTATAGTTTCTGATTTTTATTTTAAAATGACTAACTTTTTGTGAGTTAGGGTATCAAAAGCTGTTAGTTGTTAGTTTGGGGTAAATAATCTTTATTATAATTGAATAGTTATTTTTCATCCTTGGTTTTTCTAAAATGACAGTTGCATTTTATCATGTACCTTTTCAGTGACTACTGACTTGATTGTCTGACCTCTCTTCATTTCTTTATGTATGGTCAGACTTTCTGATGTCCAAACACCTTGAATTTGGGGGCATGTGTTTAATTGAAACTTTTGTAAATTCATAGAAAAATGCTTACTAAAATGTATCAAATATTCACCACTGCAGCTTAATAAGAGGGAGTCCTGCTGTGGCACTGTCGGGTAAGCACTTGATTGCTAACTACAAGGTAAACAATTCAAACCCACCAGCTACTCCTCGGAAATCCTATACAAGGTTCCTATGAGTCAGAACTTACTTTCCAGGACTTAACAACAACAACATGAGTATGACATTTTAAGAAACACTGGACTAAACAAAGGTAAACAATAATTCTGTCTAAAATCTTGTGATTCTGAAGAAAATGTTGTGATTCTTCAAGAAGACTATAGAGTACAAATTATTTACTGAAATTTATTTGACAATCCATTTTTTATGGCATGCCCCATGGGACTAGATTCGAGCAGAGCAAACTTTGGGAAATGCTCATATGTAGATAGCATGCTATAATTTGCGAATATATTTATTACATGAGACCAATTAAATAAGTAAGAAATGATAAACCAAATATCACAACTATATGATGTCAAAACCATTAGTCTGGGGAAAAACAACTCACTTAACCAATATTTTGTACCAATTACACTCTTATTTATGCTGGATTTTTGCCTGGGCTGGCCCAAATGATTGATGTGTTGGCATTAAATAGCACCAGATTAGAGCATGGAGCAGTCCAGGCACTGAATGTAATCCCAACTGCAGACAAATATTAATCTGCTATTCAAAGAAATAATGCAACTGTACCTGTATACACGGAGTCCTGGTGTGGCGCTGTGGGTTAATGTGCCAGATTGCAAAGCCATTTGAACTGCAAGGTCGGTGGTTCAAGCTCTCCAGCTGCTCCTCGAAAACCTTATACAGGGTCGCTATGGGGCGGAACCGACTTGACAGCACTTTACAACAATAACCTGTACCCACACCTCTCTACTATGTGATCCATGGTACTATGGCTCAGGTTTGCATATGGTACTCACCAATGACATACTCCACCCTGAAGAAATCCCTTTGTGGATTATATGGACGATTGAAGTCAATCTGGATGTAGAAAGACTGTCCTCGGCGTACAATCAACTTATTATTGTCATACTTGTCAGTATGGTGGTCCACCTTGTTGGTATCCCATCTCTCATTGAACAGGTAAACATTTGTGACATTCAGATAGTCTATGAACAAAGAAAGCAATAAAAGAGACTGTTAAATTTACTTTAAGCACAAAATCACAAAATAAGATTGTTTTCCTTAAAGAAATATGGCAGAAAGGTCTGTTGAATAAAACTCTATATAACTAAGTTGTTAGTCTCATGTGACATTATTGTTTTGAAGAGGCGTCTTAGATTTGTTTCTACCTATGATGTCATTTAAGACCACAGAACACTCAACTTGGTGAAAGATGGAACACTAATTATTATAATCAAGGACATTAGTAGTTTAATGCCAGACATCCTGCCTTCCATGCAGGGACCCAAGTTCAATTTCTGGTCATTCACAGTCACCTGTCAGTGGTGACTCCCATGTAGTTAATTATGTTGAACAGATTTCAGTAGCACTCCCACACTAAGATGATGTAGGAAGAAAGGCCTAGTGATCTACTTTTGAAAATCAGCCAGTAAAAACCCTATGGTTTACAATGATGCAATCTTTAAATGATCATGGGGATGGTGCAACACTGGGAAGCATTGTGTTCTATTGTGCCTAGGGTCACAATGCATCAGTGGCCAACTTAATAGCTGCTAACAAAGGAGTCCTGGTGTGGCACTGGGTTAACGCACTAGACTGCAAAGCGATTTGAACTGCAAGGTCGGTGGTTCAAGCTCACCAGCTGCTCCTTGGAAACCCTATACAGGGTTGCTATGGGTTGGAACTGACTTGACGGCACTTAACAACAACAGCAACAGCAATGATAGCATCTTATAGGTCTAATGCAAAGCTAGGACCAGAGTGCATGGCCCAAATTCTAATGTTCATGTTCATTTACTTTAGGCCTGAAGCTTCCTATTGTGACCACCACCTCACTATGCAACTAGCTAGGGATGTGTTGAGGGTTCACCACAACAATTTTCTTATCTTTTAAAAAAGAAGAATCAAATTTGACAAAGTCACAAAGGGATAGTTTAAGGACAAAGTCGGCCATTAATCCAAAATTCTTAATTCAAGAAGGTTCAACCAATTCCTCTATAATTCTAAAAGTAGAACTGGTCACTCAAAGGTAGGAAGCAGAGGGGACAGATCTGGAGAAAGGCTACCATGTGTGGACATTATTTTGCTTTGTTCTGTTTTTTTTTTTTT